TTGTTTGTGATCTTCTGACAAATGTAATCCTCAGTGCAGTCAAATGCAGCTGGAAGAGCATTATATGACTTGAAATAAGTGTTATACAACTTTGATCTTTTAAAGGGAGAATGTGAAATCTTGTGAAAGCAGCCTCAGGTTACCGATCTGAATAAAACCTTTCACGCCTCTAGGAGGCTGGACAACACTTTGTCTATCTCCCTTCAGTGTTTTATGAGATACAGCAGCTGTATGCAAAAACTACCAGTGATCAAACCACAGACTTCACTGAGCTTTAGGAGTTAAAGAGAAACCCATGGAGTTATTAAATATAAAAAATAAATATAAAAATGCCATCTAACTTGAGGAATTTGAGAGGATATTCTGAGAAAGTATCCATCTACATTCACTCTAAATTTATATTCTTTACTACACATATGATTGCAACCACCACCAGATGAAGGACACTTAGCTAGATGGACCACCGGGTCTGATCAGTACAAAGATTCTTACATTTAATCTTTCCTTACAAGGAGGCAACTACCTTTCTTTGAGGATTCTGGTGCTCATTCAAGAAGTTGAAAAACCTCACTCGCCAATACAGGTCTTGTGTTCAAGAGACTGTGCCATTTTGTGTAAAACTGAGAGAATTTGTCTGACTATTGTTGTGATGAACAGTTTCTTCCAGAAGAGTTACACTGGTCTTTCTTACCCTCCAGCAGTGGCCTTGAAGATATAATCCCATCCACCTGATGAATTGCAGAAGGGGCCTTGGATCAACCACAAGGTAAAAATGATGCAACTGTACCCAGAGAAAGCAACTCCAAGCAGGGCTAGCACAATTGAAATGAAACTCTGAAGTAAAGAGAGAAAAATATTACTGTGTGGGGAGAGTGTCCACAGCACATACAGTCATTCAGCCTGCCTAGCTACGTCCTTGGGTTCGAATTTCACATTTGATTGTCCCAATTTTCAATATTCAGAAAGAAATATACCAGGTAAAGAATAGCAAGCATACACATACAAAATAAAGATTAAGACAGAGTTCAACACAGTTTCACAACTCTCAGTTAAATATCATTTGGGGATTTTTCTTTTAAGAACTGCATTTTTGCAAAATTGTTTCCCAAAATGCCAGAGGAACACAACCATGCATTAAACATGTTTGCGTCTCAGATAGTGTATATTGAGTCATTACTGGGAAAAATAACTTCCAAATAATACAAGCAAGGGGATGAAGCCATTTAGTTGGGGCACTTCATTGAAACGGGTAGATGTGGCACTTCGGGATATGGTTTAGTCTAGTATGCCCTTGATTGGTTTAGGTGGGCTTGGTAGTGTAGGTTAATGGTTGGACTGGATGATCTTAAAGGTCTTCTCCAACCTAGACGATTCTATGATTCTAAACTCTCAGGCCTTCTATGTTCTTATTTTATTTTTACAAGGATTTTTTTGTGAGGTTTTTTTGTTTGTTTGTTTACTTTTCTTTCATCCTGCTTATGCTTCAGAAGGAAGGAGCTACACTTTCTGTGACCTCTCAAGCCAACTTAGAATCCTTCTCTGTGAAAGGAAGCAGAAACACAGCAGCGGAGAGGGCAGAAGGATGTGCTGGAAATTTGGGAGCAGGAAGGCGCTCAGAACAAATGCTACAGAGATGCACAAAAATAGAACACAGACTCACCCTGTAGGTTTTGTTACAGCTCTCACTCTGGCAGCACCGATAGAACGTGTTACACTCCAGTGTTATTAGAATTACTGCCAGCAGAAGGATCTATAAGGGGACATTATAAGGTCAGTGAAATGACTGCAGATTGTAAGCCAAAGTCTTCGCCTCTGGAAGGCAGGGACTGCATCTGTTATGCTCTGTTGAGATTTTTTAAAGCTGCTCAGTAGGCAAGCACAATTGCCCAAGGTGCACCATGGAACTGGACTGTTTTTATTAGGCTGTCACCGTACTTGTTTCTTGTACTCGAACAACAAGAGTACAGTGTCTCCTATCACAGCAAAGTGTTACTAGCATGGACACAGCTCTACCAGTGAAGCTGAAAGAATAAAACCAAGCTCACACATAAAAGATTAATACCAATGAAAGGAAGGATATTTTATTGATACAACCACATCAGTTCAACAGCTTCTTGCTGACACGGTTGCACAGATCATGGTATCACCTTCCTTACCAACACAGTTATGCTAGAAAAAGTCAGTGGTATGAGCTTTTCATGAAATTCACCTGGACTTTCATTTGCTTTCTCTGTCAAGCATTCGTACTGTTTTTCTCAGAATATTGGCTTATTTAAACCTGATACTAGGATCATTTCAATAAATAAGATTTGGACTCCAGAACCACAAACTGCCACTCAGAGAGGCATTGATTTGAAAGGGGAAATATGCAAAGGGAATGTTTCTGAATCACAGCACTATCTTCTCATGTGCTGCTGCCCTTTTTGTAACAGGATAATATACACAGTTTTAGTAAATTGGTAATGATCCTAAGGCTAAAAATGCTTCAAAATATGAATGTCACTGTTGCAGTTCACTTTCTCCCAAATTTTCAGCTATGCTTTTCTGTTCAAATTCTCTGCCTGAAAGTTTTTTCCTCCATTAGAAAACATTAGGTTTTTCTTCTGCTTTAGGGAGAATACACAATTTCAAAAGAATATCTTATGTTTTAATAACTCTCCCAGTTCAGCACCTTCATAAACACACCTTAATTATGCAGATGAGACCTTTTTAAATACTGATTGTGTGCATGCACTTTTATTACATAAGTGCTTTCTGTCCCTGAGACTACAGTTCTTTATGAACATAGTGAACAGTATGAGCAGTGGGCAACTCTGTGTTAGTTTATTACTGCAGATGAGCTTATTACAAATGTAACAGAGAAAATCCCACTCTGCCAATCACAGTGAGACAATCTTTTGTATGTAGCCTAACAACAGTGGCACTTGATGTATTGTGAACTGTATCCAGTCCTCTAAATACTGGACTGCATACAGCACTTAAAAACATCTGAAGAGTTATGAGAAGCTTTTTTTAGTTTTTGTTTCATTTTGTTTTGGTAAAAGAGTGCTAACTACCTCCATAGAGGATTAGATCAACATAGTGCCTGCCTCTGTAATACAAGTGTAAACTACACATAAACAAAAAGCCAGCAGGAAAAAACCCCAATCAACTCTTTAAAATCACTTACATGAAATTAATAGTATACACAGCATGTCATTCAGTATATTCACATTTTTTACAGTTTGATCAAGTTTTTCTGCCTGCGGTGTTTTTTTCCAAAGTAATCCATATTCTCTTTAAAAACACAATTACATTGCTGCACAGTAATCCAGTATTAATTGCAGAAGAATGGAATTAATTAAAAATCCACAGAGTCAACACTTACCATCACACCTGAGAAACAGATCCCTTCGAAATACCACACGTAGCTGGAAAGCTGGTGACTGGCAGCATGTGAAGCTTTCCCATTAGGGAAGTATAATAGGATGTTAACAACAATACTCCAAAGTGCAAGAGGTATCAGCAGATAACTCAAACAGCTTCCACATGACTCTAAAGCCATCTCTCAAGAACTTTAGAAGTTTTGCTCTTCTAAGCTAACAAAAGATTGCAAGATTTTAGATATGAAAAGCGTTTTGACCTCCTCAGTTTGATTCAGTCATTTCATGACAGGAACCGGGTGACTGGGGTATGATTCCAGAGATAGAGAAGTGCTTAACAGTTAGCAGAGCAATAGATGAATGTTGCTGTCTAAACTCGTTATCCTTTCTAAGCATATGTCTTTAAGTAGCAGTTTCCCTTCTAAAAGATCCTCCTTTGTGATCTTCCAAATGAAATATGTCTAGAAGTCAGACTCAGGAAGGAACTTCAAAAATCTCATTTCCTAGTGACTGCTTAGAAACACACTCCTCCCGAGAACATGGATTACGATGCAGATATTCTGTGACACGAGGCAGGCTGCTCAGCCTTCCTGCACCTCAAAATTTTTTCTACCTTACATGGGCAAAGGGGCTGTCAAATGATAAATATGTCCAGCCTCTGTACAGAAGGCCACGCATTGCCTCACACTACAGAGAATTAATACCAGAGCATGGCAGGTATGGCCCTAAGGGTGAACTAACACTTGCTGCTAACTTGGGGCAGCCTCACAAAAGCACCAAGCTGAGTCTCAGCCACTTTGCAGAGAGTACAGAAGCCCAAATAACACTGGTTAGAAACTGGCAGGCAGACTTATTGTCACACTTTAATTTATTAATCTTTTCCACAGCGTTATGCAGCTGAACTGTTTCATGATTTAAATCCTGCTATTTCTCCAGCTGTTTCACTCTGCGCTTATAGCTGAGTATGCATAGCTATAGATCTGACCTAAGTACACGTGACTTCTTGTAGAGGACAAAAGGTGTGGCTGTTTGTTGAGATGCCTGCTGTTTTGCACTGTGCAAAGCCAAAGCCAGACAGTTTCCCCATTTTCATGTATCGTCATTCCCTAAGCAACCAAACATCCATCCCAGTAAAACAGAGCCAGAGCTGTGTGAACACTCACATCATGACCCAAGCCGCCTTTCCATGCCCCTGTGAGTCACCAGAAAAGGAACTCGAAAATGAGCTTAGGGTTTACTCCATAGGAAAATCACAGTCAGAGAACAAAAAAAGTTGGGGCTCTATTGAAAGTGAGAAGGCTGATTTTAGAAGCAATGATGTCATGGCATATTTTTCTTCTGTTTCCTCATAAGCTGTTTTAGGCTCTGCACAGATGAGGCTTCTCTCATGATCTCATAGAAGCTGTTTGGGTTGCATGTTGTAACTAATTCCTTCCTATTGCTTTGAATGAGATCACCCAAGGAAATGGGTATGGTGGTACTTATGCAGTTACACCATTTTTCTACCTGTTCTCTGCTGTGACTCTCCCGTGTCCCTCTCGCCGTCTAGGAGGTTGCATTTTGAAGTCCTCAGACTTTACTCTGAGGATCTTCCCATTTTTCCTGTTTTATTCCCTAATCACTTACAGACACTTTTTTCAGGCCTCCCTCTAATCAAAATTAGTGGCAAACCTCCCTTTACAGGCTCACTGGCATGGACAGAACTCATTATCAACACTGTACCTTACAGATCAGAGAAAACAGCAGGCAAATCACAACGCCAGGACTAATTTTTTTAATTACAAAACTCAGAGATCATGTAATAGGCTGAAATCTTTTTTTCTAAAAGCAAAGGCCAAAATTACTAGTGAGCAGCTCAGTTTATAATCAGATTTTCTGCTACTTCCCATAGTAATATGTTCCAATTAGAAAAAACTTTCTTGGAAAATGATATCTGAAACAGCATTCACTCTGCAGTACAGTAGTCCGCATCATGACTTATTTTGTATTTAAGCTGGGGTCTGCAAATACCAAATTAAGGTGTGTTTTTTTGCTGGCACACTATACTGTTAGGATAGGAAGCCACCATTTTATACCAAGTATTAAACAAACCTGGCAACCAGTTTCTCAAATGCCTTACCAAGTGCTGCAAGAACTGCTTTCCTCTTGCTGTCAATATCCATGAGTTGGTGCCAAGTCCATTACCAAAAAGCCATGTTTACGTTAGATGAGTGACTTCTCTGCTATCTGAAATGAGTTTAACCTAAACCAACTGCTTCTCCATGATGTAACTGATAAAACTCCCAAAACTCGTCTTATGCATCAGGCAAAAAAGGAATTCAACTGGCTTTTTTTTAAATGACAACATAAACAGTGAGTAGTAATGCTGTGCATTAGTGCTACATGGGTCTGAGATAAAGTTTTAATTCTAAACTCTAGCCTAAGCATTCTGTCCATTGGCATTCCTAAAATTGTTTCAGTTCTTTAGTTGCGTGTACCAGAAAGACAAGTAACAATTATGCAAGCATAAAGGCAAAAAAACCCTGTAAGTTGCATGGGAATTATACCCTATTCCCTCAAGACCCTCGTTTGCTCCTCCTCTCCACACTTAAATTAAGCTTGCAGATCCTTTTTCAAACAGTGCTTCTTCTCATACAAAGACACCATACTGCACAGCAACAAGGAATTCTGTGTGTGTATACACATGTGCATGCACATGTTCTCCTCCCTCCCATAGCAGGGCAAGACAGAGATAAACACAACAAACAGAAACAGCATTAAAGACTGCCCTCAACTACTTCTATGTATTTATGCATGAATAAGTGCAGATATCCTGAGATTCTAAACACAAACTTCTCCCATCTGCGAGTTCTTTTGTTGCTGTGGATGTGTGTGCAATTTTGTTTTCACAGTTAATTTCTTTTTTTCAGATATGTATTTGTACTGGGCAGACTTGGCTGTGAGGACAGTCTGAGCTACACCTCAGGTTTCTGGCTACCTTTAAAAACCACCCTCCTAGTTACAAATAGTACTAAGCACACACTGACATCCATGGGAAATTCTTTTTCTCCCATAAACAGAAACTAACTTCCCTGTTTTCAAAGACAACATTAACTGCTAGATTCCAAAATTGAGAAATAATGGTAATTCAGCCACATTTCTTTGAAATAAATGGCATGTCACATTTTGTTTTTCACTTGAAAAATGCCTTTGCCAGTAGCATAATGACCTTGCCAGCGATGCTGTTGGCAGTACATCATTCAGATTTACTTTTAGATTCACTTCAGAGGTTCTTGCACAGGATCTTAGAATACTGCCTCCAGGCTGCTTACTGGCAAAGTCAAATATTTCAGATTAATCTATCACTGCTGACCTGAATTTGCACTATATTTTCTGAACACTGCTATGCCTAGGGGTCTGTTGAGTGGGGTGAAATGAAGGATGCAGACTCACATTTTGTTTTGTCTCAAGACTCTGACTAAGCAGCGAGAGCTGCAGAAGGGACACAGAGCTGCAGCTCAAGTGCACAGGAACGTCCCTCCAGTCCTTGGAACAGCCATCAGCAATGAACTCCTAGCACAGACCCAGGACTCAGACTCCACATACACAGTTGTATCTGTCACAGACCTGTCATTGAACGATCATAGTCTTGTTGATGTGCAGTCTGCCTGGCTCAGCTAAATGATCTAAACCAAATGGTGAAGCAGTTCCCACTCTGGTAGAGTGGGAAAGGAAAAGTAGGTTATAACCTGACTGCTTTATATCCATGTTCTCATGCCACCCCTGTCCTTTACTCGTAGACCAGGAAAACAGTGTGTCAGCTTGGGCAGGGAAAGAATCACTGACACCTGCTGGGTATTTTTAATACAAATCTTTATTTGTGAAATACAGGAGAAGTTCAGAATAATCCTGAAAAGGTGAAGTGCATGTATCTGCCCTTGATCATCCACATTTTACTGCCGCTTTGTTTTTGCTCCAGCTGAGTATTCATTTACATCCAGACTAGACTGGGTTTGTGTTCATTCCAACATCAGAATGGAAGTCCAACTTTATTGGGAAAGCAGCATAAAGTACAGAGCTGTTGTGTCAGTAGAAAGGGGAAAAAAGCACATCTTTAGTGATGTGTTCAGGCAGTTGCCTGTACTAAGATGAAATGAACCAAAGAAATTCAGGATACATTTTTCCTTTAGGTACAGACAGGTTAGTGGAAAACCTGCATGACTCCAACAACAAAGGCTGGCCCAAGTCAGTTAAACTGATGGCAACATCACAGTTTGACAACAAACAATGTGCATTTTAGCATACATGGAATATGAAAAACCCCACAGCATACTCAACACACCACACACGTGCACTGACGCCAATGCATTGTCAGGTTTCTAGCAAGCGTATGTCTGTGGGAGGGAACAAAAAGAAATACATGTTAAGGGGAAGAATGCTAATATCGTATCCAACTATAAGAGCTAAAATTAACCTGACCACATTTAGACAACCAGAGCATGGCTCTTTCATACTGCAGTTACAGCATGGAAGACAGGAGTGAGAAGACAGTAATAGCTTTGAAAGAGCCCCAACATTCAACTATGTCAATTATAATGTGAAACATTTTCTTAGCCGTAATGCGTGTGTGATAAAAATCATATCTGTTTCATACCTCAAGCCATTGCAATTCCAACACTACGATACTGATTTTTAACAACATGCTCAAACTGTTTAACAGGACTCTAAGGAAATTTGGAGGAAAAGTCCCCTTCCTCACTCAAAAAAAGCGCCCCACCTTCAAAAAACCCTTCAGATCTGTCTGAAGGTTTTGTTAGCTATGTGCAATTTATTTCCTTCTCTTATCTTTCACTAAGCAAGGCCAGGATGCTGCAGTTTAATACATACAGCATATTCTCAGTAGTCTATCAGCTGCTGTGAGAAAGTAAGAGCAATATAGTTAGAACAAGCAGCCTACCACAAAACTGCACCACACTATGGTTTAGGCTATGGCAAAGACCACCACCACCAGGAGATTTGTATTTCAGTTATACCACCTATATAGTGCTGATGACCACATATGCCATAGGGGAGGAGGAAAAAAAAGCCCTCCAGCTCCTATGCATGCTAACATCACTGCGACAGCTGAGGAACCGGCTGAAAGCATGTGGTTAAATACTACATGAAAATGCTGAACACAAGAGGGCTATAAAAAGAGTTGTACACTGAATTGTTGCTCAAGAATACCTTAAAGAATAGCTGCTGAGTAAGACTCCACAGTAGCACCAGTAACAACAGAATTTCATGTTCATCTGAGAATCATGGTTATAACTACAAATGGCTTACCTCCTCATGACTGCAGCACAACCCACACAGTCCTCCAAGAATGCCATTGATTATCTGTATGAAGCACAGAATGAACTCTATTCCTCCCAAGACAAGGAGGATGGAAAAGAGGGTGACGTTCCACTGCACAATGTTTTGAGGTTCTTGACATTCAGACCACCTGCTGTACTCAAACAAGTACCTGTACACAGCAATTAAAAGTATATTAACATTGTGACAGAGCGGGATGCTTACCATACACTAGAACCACATTATGTCTAGTCTGTAACTCCATCAAGAATCATCACTCTAAGCAGGAATAGAAAATGCAGTGGTTTATTCCATGCAAAGTTTGCTCTGTTTAAGAACGTGTTGAACTATCAACATACATTTTTGTTAAGTCTTAATTGTTTGTTTTTTTTTTTTTTTTTTTTTAAATCTAAAGCTATAAAGGCCAGATCTTCTACTACTGATTAAAGCAAGACACAAGCTCAAGAAAGCTGAAAGAGCAAAGCTATTTCTCAAAACAACCACAGAGCTTTTCAGGACTGGACCTTTATTCTAAAGACAGCAATTACTGATCTGAATCAAACAGGTCACTTCCTCTCTCGTGCTGCTGTCTTTGGGCCCTCACATGCCTACTCTGAAAGAGCCAAACACAGAACACATTTAGAGAGGTACTGCAGTATTCCAGCCGCTACCCCTCACCCACACCTTCAGAACATCAGCACAGATAAGCCTTCAGCAAGGACTTACCTGAGTTCTTCTGTACTCAGTCATAGTTGGGGGGATAGGAGGGGAGGAATGCCCCCTCTTGGGAGAGGTGCAGCTGAAATGTAAAATTCAAACTCTCTGCTGCAAAGGATCTTTATGTGGCTTTTAGTACTCAAACTGTCTCTAGTCTGGCAGCAGCCATAAACTGTCACTAGAAACGGCCTCAAGGTTGCCAACCATACAGACACTGTAAAAGCGTATCATGATCCAAACCAAATCCTCTCCCAACCTGCAGGATTTGTGGGGATTGATGGGGAATACCATACAACTCAGCTACATAGGCTTGGTTTGCTGGAGAACCCTGATTAGGGATAATTAAGAGCTTCTGGTCCTCCCGGGCCTGCAGTGTACAAAGATTCTTATAAACCTTTTCTGGTTTCATTTAGGAAGGTTCTATGCCATTGTCACTAATGAAGGTATGACGCCAGTTTACACTGATGCAAAGCAACTTCAGAAGCAAGCTTCACAAAACAGATTCTTACACAAATGATAAGACAAATGTCATAACAACCGCTATTTATAGTTCGTAAATCCCTCAAAGTCCTAAAACTTTACACCTTATGTTAGAGATGTTCACATCCATGAACATCTCATGTGGTGTATAGGTATTATTACATATATATATGTGTTCAGATCCCTTTTTGTAGGACAGAAGACTTACATTGCTTTGGTTTTAAAGTATAGCAGTGTGGGTAATGGACACCAACCGTTTAGTTCTTAGTGAGCAAGAAGCATTAACTTATGAAAGGATCTTGGTATATGGCTACTGGATATTGCTGAAAGGTACTGGAATAAAGACCATGTGTACATGGGGGAAGATACAACATCCTCATGAACAGACAACTTACCCTCCAGTGGATTCAGCGAAAGGATAGATCCAGCTTCTTTCTAGGCGAGTAAAACAATATGGTCCATGAGACAAGCCCAGTGCTGAAATGATTATACAGTATCCAGAACCAAGGATCCCAACAAAGGCTGCCAGAACCGAGGACAACATCTGCACAGCAAACAGACATGAGCTTTCAACACAGCTGTCACCTTGTCTTTGGGATTATCTGGGGCTGGAGTGTAAAGGCTCACTTACCGCACAGCTTTTCCCACAGTGCTCATGGCCAAAGCACCCACAGCAGTCGTCATTGTGAAGCCCAATGAATACTACAGCTGGAATGAGTACCTAGGTACGGAGCAAACAAACCACACTGTTCTAGTTTGTTGCACAGACAGGGTAGATAAAACACAGTCCTCACATTGCATTCATTTATATTGCTTCTTGGCAGCGGGGTGGGGGAGCAGCCTGTATAGATTATTCAGTTTTACTTCTATTTAACACAGTAGCACCAACACCAGAATAGGTATATTTCTATTTCCGCTTTGTGTATACACAGCGCTTAAGTGCATAAAGAGCCTGTTGATAAAAAGCCTGCTGTGGTATTGCTGCATTTTAAAGTACTTCAACTTTAAAAGTTTTTGTTGACATTAAAGGCTGTATCCTATGAATAGGATGCTCTAAAAAAAAAAAAAAAGCATTCACTTTCTGCCAAATGAGGACTACAAAACGAGTGTCTCAGTCATTTTGTTAAAAAACAACTACCACCAACATATTAGTTACTGAAGAATAGTCATCACTGCCTGTGTGACAAACCAGTCTAGCAAGAGTAGAAGGTCTAGGAATATTTTGCCCAATCCAGGCAAACATCTTGTTAGACATCTAGCTTTTTCCAGGTTGTCACAACCAGTTTCCAGTGACAGAAATGCAAAGTAACGAAGCAGAAGCTGTCTGTAAGAAACATAAATCATCCATACTCCAGAGCTTTTAGCATAAAGTCAAGAAGGAGGAGAGTTGATTAAAGAGAATATCGTCCCCACCAGCACTAACAGGACTTAATAATAGTTTACACTTAGAAAGCCTCTACACCCAGGAGTACCTCAGAAAACCATAAAGAAAGAGCAGAGTGTTATATTCAAACTACACAGATTTACTTAACAAGACACTAAAATAAAAACTATCCAGCTGAACAGTCACATACTTTTCAGCCCTTACTCAAACCTATTGCTGAGCCCCAACACTGCAGGTCCAGAAGAGGTTGTACAAGTGTGTTCCAGGAGCAGTTCCATTGATTTCACTTGTATTATTCTGTGTGTAAAGCCCAGTCTTTGCAAATCCCAGTCTAGGTTCCAATGGGACTGTAACACAGCTGTAAGCACCTCTCACAAGATGGAGGGCCTTACCATGCAATTGTTTTCAACCCATGATTTGCAGACACCTTGAGATCTGTAGCCTATTTCTAAGAGGACTTTTAAAAGCAAATGAAAAAGGAAGCCTGGAGCCAGGGAACTTAAATATGTTACAATGTGGTCTACAAAATTGAAAAAGTAGAAAATAATAGCTTCAGATTAACAATGTCCTACAATGAACACACTCGATTCTTCATCCTTTGCTGTTACTCGAATGCAAAGTTTTGGTAACTGCCACTCAATCCCTCTGAATAAAGAGCTAAGGCAGAGAAATAACCGTCAACATCTTAGATAACAGATTATAGAATTGTAACTAAATGCTAGTTATCTAGGGACATTTAAAAGGAGAATAGTTCAATAATATAACAAAAACGTAAGATTTAACCCTTTACGCAAACCATGACCTGCTGAGAAGCTTGGTTCCAGTTTTGCGTTTGGATTCTGCAACTTAGACCCTATGACTCTCACTTTAGAGCTGAGAAAATGTTGCAGATAAGATAACCAATAGTAACTAATAATACCTATGGGGTAATATAGCTAATTTATTTTGGTACAACTCCAGAGATCCCTGCTGATGAGATATTTGGTCAATAAATTAATGTAACTGGTAAAGAAAGAGTAATACCAAGTAGCTCCAAAATAAACTTGAAAGAAACCACTAGCTGGTTACTTACCAAAACGCCTCCACCTAGAATGCCATGAAGGCACTCCACATATTTGCCGAGATGATGGTCTGAAGCAAATCTTGTTTCGCCATTGGGAAAATAAAGTAAAATATTGGCCACAATGCTGAGCACGGCAAGGATGAGCAACTTAAACCCAATACATCTAGCACACCTTCCAAAACACATGTCTTCAGCTTTACAAATCCTTCTTTCACTAGTCCAATCCAACCTCTCTCATACCTGTCCACGCCTAAAAGAAGATCAGCCCTTATTCACCTCCTTAAATACTCAGGGTTACCTAGCTACCTGGATGATGTTTACACCTCTTCATAACTACCATTACCAATTGCAGAGTGAGGGAACAGGGATGGCAGAATGCCACCACCCTTTTTAAATGCAATAATTGTTGTCAAACCAAATGCAATCAAGGAAATACTGAATACTAGGTAGTTTCACTCTAATATATGATGCTTGGAATGATCACCAGTGAACATGATCAGACATGAACAACAGGCTTAAACCACAACACAAGTTCTGTTAGGAACTGAAGGAAAAAGATTTTGTTTTCTTTGTTAGAAGTAGCTTTGACTTTTACGTTTATAGACTGATTCAGAACTACCTGAAGCCAGGGAAAGACTCAGCTGACTTCAACAGCATTGAGTCAGAGTTTTGGGTATAAATAGAATAAGGTCTACAGCAGTGAGGAGTATGTAGAGCAACCTCTCACTTTGCTATCCTGTTGATGGAATAAGAGCAAACCTCATCAGGAGGTTGGAAAACAAATAAAATGGACAGGTAGGCTTCTAAGGAGTGTCCTTGTTCTCACCATATAAGACAAACTGAATTTAGATTAACAGCCATTTGTTAAAGCTAAACCAAAGAATCACTGGTGAAAAATACTGCTTCAAGAAGAGGATTATGAAATTTCAGTCCAAGGACTGTATTTTATGTAGAGAACCCCCCTACCCCCTCTGAGAAACATATTATATCAGGGGTTTCCAAACTATGTTACATGTACCGGTGACATTTATTTGCATAGTAAATGGAAATAAAAAGTGACCTGGAAAAATTAAGATCTAGCCACCTCTTTTTTCCTCTCATGCTAATTCTGCTAAAATAGCCAAAAGCTTCCTTCTTCACATACATACAGGTCAACACAGAGGCATGATCTGCCATGCCCACTACTATCACATGACAGAAGATAACTAAGAAATGCACAGGTCCAGACTAGATTTGGCAGGTGTTGCTGCTGCTGTCATCATAAGACAGTGTCATTCTCATTGCAAAAACAGTAGCTAGACAAACTGAGTTTGGGAACGTACAGGCTATTGGAAGACTGTAGTGAGACTTTAAGTTATTTAGGGGGGAAAAAATACTTATTCAGGTTTTTTAGTTGGTGGAGTGTGGGGTGTGTATTTTTTTTTTGTAAGCAGCTAAATAACACTGTAAACAGAAGTCCAAATCAAATCCATGATATTCTTCCAAGTGATGTGAGCAACACTTAAGCTGAGAGAGAGAGTGCACACAAAAAGAAAAGGAGGGGAGAAGAGAGCAGTCTTGTGCAGATGTGGTCCTGTGATGTAACTTCTCCGGGTATTGTAGCTGTTGACCTTGGAGACTTCCTTCATTATGAGAAATATCCTCCAATTGTAGAAACATAGGCTTACCATTATTGTTCACTTCACCTCTGATGACTAAACCAAACAAACATCATCCTGCAAGTTTCCTCTGCAGAAGGAGATGGCTGCTCAACTGAAAACTCCCTTTATTGTGTTACACTAAAAAACCCAAACCACTCCCCCCAACCCCCAAAACACCACCCAACACTGTCCCCCCTGCCCAATCACCACACCATACATATGTCCACTGGGAAGTAGGTTTAAAATCTATTCTATTTAGAAAACAATTATACAGGTTATAAACACCTGACTTGAAATAAAATTTCACATAATCAAGAACCTCCTCTCTTCAAAATCAATTCTGTACATCATCATACATGCAGGACATTGCACAGGCTTTGCAGTCAGTCTGCAGTTACTACCAAGCCCCCCCGCCCTGCCCCGATACAATATTAGTTCAGATCACTCTCCTATATAATCATAGAGGTTACAAAAACCTTCTGCTTGTTTACTTCTCATGCCTGTTTGCTTCATAAATCCTAATTTTACTGCTTGGCAAAGCAAGCAGTGGTGGATTTTTGGAATGCATCGTAGGCATGTTGAGTTTTAAATGATAAAACTGACCCATACACAAGCAGTAGCCAAACATGAGCTTCTCATCAACCTGAGGAACAGTAGGGCCCAAACTGCAGCTTGTGACATGCTCCAGCACCATGAGACGGGGGAGTTTACACTAGCATAAACAAAACTAGAATCGGGTTTTGAGTCTTTTATACAAGAACCAGTGTTTGCACTTAAAGAGGTAAGGCAGTTGCTTACTCACTCACAGGTGCTTCCCCACAACCCGTGGGAAACTCCATCATTTCTCTCTCACAGGACTATTCCTGTAGCTCTGATGGCTGCCCTGGGCAAAGAACACATATTAGAAGGCAGTCAATCACCCAGTGTTATTAGATACAACAAAAGTCTAATTCCAGGCTGAAGCCTAACTTTAGACTGTAGCTCTAGTCCTCAGCTCTGGCTGAGAAGCACTAGTGCAGTGTGGCACAGGACAAGACAATCAAAGGGGCAGTGAAGCAATTTTGATAGCATACTCTAAGGTCCAGCAGGTAGAACCATTGCGCCATTGTGAAAGACTTCCATATCCTCTCCTGGCAGAAGGGGGGTGGTTTATAAACAATGAGAGCAACTGGCTTGTATCCACAAATCCCCAATCCTGCAGGATAAGTTTGTCAGCAGAACAGTGCTACAAGGAGCAGGACACTGACCCTTCATGCCAGAGAAGTGGCTAAAATTAGAAACTTCAGTAATTGGACAAGGCACCTAATACCGAGCCTAATTTCACACAGGGTCCAAGGATCCAGCAGCCCCTCTATTGCAGCAGGAGGACAGAAGCCCGCTTCTTTCACAAAATAAAGATGTTAGAAAGAGACTAGTGTTTCCTGATGCCAAAAAGTGGGAGATCTCATAAATAATAGAAGAGCTCTCTACATTCAAGCTCTGAAAAACCTAAGCATTCTCCAGCTTTCTGTACCTGCGCCTCAACCAGCATGACAGGAGTAACAGAAATTACTTTCTCCAGCTCAGTGGTGTACTGGGAACCCTTCCTATATTTTTGGACAAGTCCTAAGTTTACCTATTGTAAAGAGGAGCCATTTATCAAAGACCATCAAAGTTACCATAACTTGCAAAGTTACCAAATGCTTGCAGAGAGGGCAAATCCCCCACCCCCAAAACCACAAACCCACAGAATTTTATCAAGAAAGAAAAAACGGAAGTATCACATCCTACAAAAGCAAATTACTTCAACTACAACCACATCTAGCACCTCCACCTAAGCCAAATTCATTGTAATCAACAAAAACTGAGATGCAACAGCAAAGAAAAGTGCCATACAAAAAAGGAGAACTCTGACTCCACTAATATATTTTAATGCCCACAGTAATCCTGGAAACACCCATATCCCTCTACTAAAGAGGAAATCAAGGTGGACAGAGGGGGAAGGATGTCTGCAAAATAAATAGAGAAGTGGCCAGACAGACCCAGACCCATCAAGTCAGAGTCAGCATGCTGTCGAACAGGATCACGCAGGCTATGCTCAGTTTCCCTGACTGGGCACCAGGCATGGTACCATATTTGAACTTGTTGCACGTGTATGCTGTAAAGCTACTGTGCTCTGAGGATGCTGCAGCACCCTCTTTCCTTTGCTCTCTGGCACACAGTCAGGACAGTCTGGCTGCTATTCCCTTCATGGAAATGAGATTTTTATAGCTCAACTATCCCAAATCCCTAGCATTAATCTTGCCAATCCATCCTAAATTGAATGTTGGTCACTCTTAAACTATTTCAGCACCTAAAGATGTTCTCATTCCTTACAACCAACCAGGCAAAGGATAAAACATTTGCAATAACCATTTCTACCATTAGTGTTTTCTGAGCAAATATAGGCAATCTCCTGATTAAATTAAAGATGCCAGAAAGAAAGAGATGTTGCTTTACTGAAAAGCATAATGTGTTTCTTCCCAGTGATTTCTTCTAAGCCTCCAAACGGTCAGTCCTACTGCTTTACACTGACTTATAGCCAACCCTAGACGTGGTTTGCTAAAAGACACAATAGTGATCAAGAGACACAGCTGAAACAGACACATGACAAATGTCTTCCAATTATCTTGAAAACAATCTAAAGAAAAAAAAAACCAAAAAGCTTTGAAGCAAATGAACATTTTTTTTTACATTATAAAAACTGGTCAGATGTGAATCAAGGGGGCTTTACTAATATCATTGCCATTCGGACAGCCTACGCTACAACTTCTACCAGAGAGTTTCTCATTATAACTTTTCTTGCAAAACTTCTGGTCCCACCCACCATTGGCAAAAGGTTAATGGGAGGGAAGTACCTCTTGTGGACACACTGGCAGGGTGTGGTGACTGCATGACATGAGATGAGACACAACCTGGGAAATAATAGCATGGGCTGCACAGATGCATTTGGAAAGATTGGGCAACACAACGCATGTGGATTGACACAGGTTATGAACCCACACTTGTATTCCCTTATAAACTATTCTCATTTGCTCTTCTCTTACTGTTTAGTAAGTTACTGCTCACAGAGCCAAATACTAGCTCAGACAACTCTGGGAATGTACGATGAACAGTCACCTGTTAGCTAAACTAAGGGAAGCCTCCCGGCCAGCTGTTCAGACAGAGCTCCCAGTGACCTTAGGAACACCCATGACCTCCCTTTAATCAAATGGAGAAACACCTGCCCACGCTACCATCCATTCCTCAATGTTCAAGTGATGCATTGCTCATGTTTTCCAGCCATCGTCCACAAAAACATTATACTGTAGCTATAATTGTCCTCAGGCACGCCACCTCACGAGTGCATGTCGATCAGCAAACTCCACCTGGACAGCCATGAGAGGAAACAGCTCCCCTGAAGTCCTTGGTGTCTGTGGTCTCCTGGCCACAGCCAGAAGAAAGTTTCCAGATTACCTTTATTAATTACATGACAGCTGCTTGGATGTACTAATGAGCTACTTCTGAGGAGGAGCAACCACCCACTGCCATGAGACAGATCACTGAACAAAAAATCCATCACTCCTTACACAGCTATAACACATATG